TATGCTATGCCCAGTGATGTATTTTGAAACATTACAGTGAATTGCAGGGTGGTGGGCTACATAGTATGTACCAGCTCTCTGTTCACTGTGCTGTATTGTTTTGCATTAATGTTAACTGCAGTGTGGTGGCTTAGATATTATTGTGCATCCCCTAAAACCTGCATGGTCTCTTCCTCCCAAACTTTGGCCTATTTAAAGGACAACTATGGGGTTAGGGCTTTTCCCCATAGTTCTCCTTAGGGTAATGGGAGGACACAAACTAGCGTCCTCCCGTCACCCTAGGCTCAGTATACCGCGAGCTACAGCTCGCGGTATCCTGAGACGCCGCAGCCGTGATGGATCCTGACAATTATGTCTGGATCCGCCCAGTTGCATGAGTGGCAGCTGGCTCTGCCTATCTGGTGGCAGAGCCAGCTGTACCCGCCCCCTCCCCTGTCCGTTCCGCCAGTCAGCGCTGGAGGATTGGAGCGAGGAGGGGGGAATCCAGTCCCTCGCCTGTCACGGCAGAGAACCGGGACAGGATCGAGAAGTGAGCGAACGCCGGTATGTGTTCGCTCACTTCCCGATCTACTGAGCCGACCTGTGAAAGTTTCATTGTCACAGGTCGGCTAGAACTATTTTCTCCTTTAAGCTGCTTACATAGTGTGTATGGAGCCTAGATAATATTTCTGGCTATTGTCTCTGAAATTCTGAAATAATACATTCTACTTTGTATTATTTCATGATAAAACATGCCTGGTCTCTCCCTCTTAAATTGTGGCCTAATAAAGCTGCTAAAATACTGTGCATTGACTGCACAAAATTTCTGGCTATTGTTTGTAAAGAATAAACTAATTTTTATTTTTTGATAATACCTACTTGTTTGAGTCTGTACAATATTTCAGGATATTGTCTTTGAAATAATAAAATCAATTTTGTATTTCCCTATAAAACCTACCTCATCTCTCCCTCTCAAATTGCAGCCTAATAAATGTATTTATCTACTATGCATCAAATGAACAATATTTTCTGATTATTATTTGTGAAATAATACATGGCCTGTCTCTCTCTTTAAAATTGCGGCCTAGGAAAGCTGTTTACATCCTGTGCAGTGACTGTATAATATTTCAATACCCTCCCTCTATATTGTCAGAAGATCTCCAGATTTAAAAACGCTGTTTTACATCAGAGAACCATGTGCAAATAATAGCAGGAGAATACCCAGTCACCATGATCACCTCTGCAAGGCCAGTGTTTGAGCTAGCGGTTATATCTTGCAAGGAACCCATTGTTAACATTTTTGTACAAGGTGGCTCTTAAGTCTAGGACTCCGTTTTTTTAAAGGTAGTGCCCAGGTTACATTGCCATCCCTGCCTGTTTTTTCCTTAATGGGAAGGTATTTGAAAGGATAGGTGTTGTTCCTATGTTGCCCTCAAAGTTGCATAAAAAGGTGGACCCTCTCCCCCCCTGTAAGTATTTTTTAAATAATTTTTTCTTTTGCATTGCTACATGTCCTAAATGGCAGTGTCAAGCTTCCTCTTGACAATTCTTTGCCTATTAGCCTTTGAAATAGCCTGAATTGATGTTCAAGTGTTGAACCCCCCTCCCCCCACCTCATAGACTTTAATGGGGCTTGAATTAAAGTTTGCAACTTTCAAGGGCAAGTCATATGTGCTCAAACATTTCTATTTCAATGTTTTTCATTTGCAGTATGGACACTTGGACAAAGCTAGTTGGCCAAAACAAAAAAGGGGAATGATTAAAAGTAGGAAAGAGATGCATAACTGAAGAATTTACAGCACATATGTCACAGGTAGAATATGTGAATAGGGCAGAGGCTGACACACTGCCCGTGCATCTACACATGATCTATCTAGGATTATAGGGCTCACTCTTCTCACCAGGTCTAGGAGATAAGGGGATGTAAGAGATATTCAGGCCTCTTATCCTACTCTCATTTATGCCTGTCTGCTGTTGAAATGCACTCATCCACAAAGGTAGAGAAGACGTGTGACACTGCAGCTGTCACACATTGGCTCTATTGATCAAGAACTGATATATTGATCTTCTCCCTGCAGACAGCGGTGACTGTCAGTGGATTCCCCCTCCCCCACCCCCCCATCCGTTCCTCTAGTGCTCATTAGAGGGACAGATGGGGAAGGGGGTGGGCACAGCTGGCTCTGGTTCTAGAGGCAGAGCCAGATATCAATCAGGCAGTGGGGTGGATCCCAACAATATTATCTGGATCTTGCCCGGCTGCAGCGCGGCTCTGTGCTGTCAGCATATAGCGGGCAAAAGAGAACTAATGATAAAAAAAGGTTTGGCCATAGTTCTCTTTTAAGAAAATCATAAGATGAGTTCCAGATTTATGATAAGAAACACTGAAATATGTCTTGCATTTAGACCACCTTTATACCACCTTTGTAAATGTTTCATAAAGAATCATGATTCCAGTGCAGGGAATCTAAATGTGATGCAGATGATCTTACATTTGACTAGGGTTGCCACCTTTTGTTCTAGCGAAACCCGAACACTCAAGCCCATTTTCTTGGGAGAATGAGTCGTGACTTATTCATATGTAAATATCACATTCAAGACTATTTTCAGTGGGGGGCCAGTAGCCCTTATCTTAATTTTGGTTGCCCCTGTCTGCCTGACATCTTTTGTCCAGGTTTCAGCTGCCATTGAGTTTACTTACAGTAATGTTGACCAGAAAGCAGCTAACTCACCTCCTGCCTGGTTACCACTGAGTAGGGTTCCCACCTTTTCTTCAAGCCAAACCCGAACACTATAGAGCTTCGCGGCAATTTTTTTGCAAAGTATACACTATGCATGTATTTTGTAAATAAATTACATTGGAGTTAATCACAACTTGCCAGTGTGCCGCACTGCCACAGGTCCCCAGATATGCATTCTGTAGATAAGATGCAAGTGTACAAAGCAGTACCCATATACCTTGCTGCACTTCTTACCAGATATACCAAAAGTAACGGGTGCTGGTAATGACTGCGGATGGCACTGCTCACAACAGAACAACAATACAGATGTCTCCAGCACACCGGCACCAAGATCCCATGTTACTGCAAAATCCATTTGATTGGTAGTTGTCATTCAAACGACAAGCGCTTTCTGAGCTGGGCAGGGTCCCCTTCATCAGGCTCAGAAATGACATTCTATTATGTCCATATAAAAGTTGTGGCACTTTTATGTAATGTTATTTCTGAGCCTGATGAAGGGGACCCGGCCCAGCCCAGAAATCGCTTGTCGTTTGAATGACAACTATCAATAAAATCGATTTGCAGTAACATGGGATCTTGGTACCGGTGACATCTGTTTTGGAGTTCAGATATGTACTATTGCACATAAAAGATTCTCCCACAAAAGATGTCACAGGTTACTTTGGAAACAAGCCCTTAAGTAGAACACCAGACATAACTTTTATCTGTTTTGTGTGTGAATATTAAAATATAACACATAAGATCTGTGTCCCCGACCTTCATTTCCTATTGTGTCACCTATAAAGAAATTGTGTCAGGTTTTGTTCCCCTGCCTGTATCCTTGATGTGTACTATTGCACATAAAAAAGATTCCCCCACAAAACATTTTTTTGGGGGGCATGTTTAATGTGCAATACTGACCCCCCCCCTTTCCAATTAATATTGCATTTGATAAAAATGTAATAACTTCACCCCTCCGTGTGTTTTTTTTCCTAGATACCCTCTTACATTTTTCACTGGAGTTATCCACAATAAATATACTCACATGCTCAGAGATTCCAGCATTGTCCTGTTGTAAACTCCTGCTCCACAGCCACATGCCAGGTCCCATGCTGCTATCCTCTTTACTTATGTCATCAGGAGCTGGTTGTCACTTCCTGGTTTGAAGTTGTCCCTTCCTTGAAGCCAACACCCTGTTGATGCGAGATGCGTGCAGGCCATCCTCAGTGCAGTCCACCTTCTACCAGCGCTGGTTCACCCTCCTACAACCGCCAGCAATCAGGGGTTGTGTGACGAAATCGCTGCTCTCCACAACCCCTGCTTGCTGGCGGCTGCCGGAGAAAGATTAATCCGTCACGGCTCCCTCTCTCCCTGATGTCACTTCCTCCTACTACAGCCGCGGAGGAGAGAAACAGGGGAGGGAGGGAGGGAGAGTCGAGGGACCGGAAATAGCGCCACCCGGCGTCCGCTGACCGCCACCCGCCGCCCGCCGCAAGATATGCTAGTATGCGGCATTGTACCATTTGAATTATGTGCCCGGGCGGGAGGTGGGCACAGACCCGGGCACATGATTACAAACCCGTACTGCCCGGGTGAAACCCGTACCGGTGGCAACCCTACCACTGAGCCAATCAATGGCTTTCCCTATGCCCTTTAAGTGCCAGCCAGAGAAGATGAGCTTGTGCTGCTTTCAGTCTGACCCTGTTTACATGTGGTCTCGCTGCATAGATGTCAGAACGTTTACTGAGAGCATTGTTCAGATTAGAAGATTAGAATGAGGAAGTAGGGTTTAGTCAGGATGTACACTAACAGTACTGAGTAAATTAACAACTAAAAGCTCAACAGAGAAGCACAAGGAACAGACTCTAACATAGTATCTAAAAAAAAATGTCCTTTGCGCATATAACACATGAACGATCTGACCTTCACAGTTAGTGCTCTTTTAGCAATCCATTCCCTGATTTCCAGCAGAATGACAAGAGGTTCTTTATTATTCAAAGAGCCTTGGAGCCTAGTACTGAGAGTATCCTTTTGAGATATCTTGTACTATATCATTATTATCTCTCTATGGAAAGCCTTCCTCATCTGGCATGCATAAAGGCTCTCTCTCTTTCTAAGAGTGGTAATATCAGATTCTAGAAGTCTTTTCTAACTTGTCTACAATATAACAGCATATACTGTAAGTGTGGCTTTGGTTTCAAGCCTTCCTTCATGTTTATTAACAGAATTTATATTCCACCAGTGAGGAGGAAGTGAAATCCTGAAATTCTTCAATCAGAGACCTCAGCCTGATCTCTATAGAGATCTCATACCAGGTTCTCTGCATTGCCTTCATTGTTACTGCCTTAAACAAAACAAGGTGGTGGTTGTTCTGGCTTAGTGATACCTCATCCTGTCATCGTCCAACAAGTTTAACCTTTGCACTAATATTGATTAAAACTTAGAGGTTGATTTATAACCCTTCCACTCAGCATATAGCTAGACAGATGCTGTTTACACAACACCCGTGCCACTAGATGGCTCTGAGGAACAAAGAAATCAACCCATAAGAGTTTTCATTTCCCGGAAAATTTTCCATGTTGGTGAAATGCATGTGTAAATAGAACACAGTTAAAGCAAATCTCCAGTCTGAAGCAATCTCTATTTTTGTAGAGCTAGAGCTACAGAGCAGCTTACAGCACATTGATCCCATCAGTTCACAATAATTTACCTTCAGTCTGTTCAAGCTTTGATGAAGAAGGGGACTTTGAACTCCCAAAATACATTGTTTTTTTAAATAAAATAACAACCTTCAATAAAATCATTTTTGGAATTGATACTACTTATAGTCACTTTCCTCTCTACATTTTGAGCTGATCTGAGGTACAAGTCTGCTTATTGCCCCTATCCTCTGGAAAGTTGCATAAGAGAGATTCCTCCCTCTGCCTAGCATTTTTAAGGAGAACTATGCGGTAAGTGTTTTTCCCCATAGTTCTCCTAAGGGTCACGGGAGGACATAAACTAGCATCCTCCTGTGACCCAAAGTTCAGTATATTGCGATATACTGAGACTGTATATATATACGGTATACTGAGACTGCTGCAGCCGCGACAGATCCCGACATTACTGTCGAGATCCACCCAGCTGCGTGATTGACAGCTGGCTCTGCCTATCTAGAGGCAGAGCCAGCGGTACCCGCCCCATCCCCTGTCCGTTCCGCCAGTCAGCGTTGGAGGATCGGAGTGGGGAGGGGGAATCCCTGCAGGGAGCCGTGAGTGACAGTCACGGTTCTCTGCAGGGACACGATCGAGAAGGGAGCGAGCAACGCTATGTGTTCGCTCACTTCCCGATCTATTGAGCCGACGTGTGACAGTCTCATTGTCACACGTCGGCTCGAACTATGAGGCTGAGTGAAAATCACTCACCTCATAGTTCTCCTTTAACCAGCAAATCTACCTGGACCAAAGCAATCCACAACCCTACACCCTTTTCTTCCAGTCCAAGTTTGTATTACTTTCTGTGTCTCTTTTAGGGAGATTTACCCTCTCTATTTATCCTGGTACCACTGTCACCAAGACTGAAAGTGAGGGAAAATCCAACATTTGTAAGTGGTTACCAAAACAGGAATAAAGGGGAAATCTTTCAATGGGACTGTGATAGGCGGCTGAGTGGTGTGGGAGGAGAGTCACTGGCCGCTCACGGCAGTCTCCTCCCGCAGCGCTCGGCCGGCTGTCACTTTCTCTCCTCCCTGCCGGGACAAATAGCAGCGCCCAACGGGGAGGAAAGAAATCACGGCTGCGCCGACAAAACGGCAGGAAAATTGCACTTTCGGCACTTAGCCAAAAGTGCCATTTTCGGCCGGCGCCCCCCTTCAGCTTTACGCCACTGGTTACTGCTCCAACTGCTGGCAACTGCACCAGATATTGTCTGCTCCAGTTTGAATAAATTCCACCCAACAGTATTTAATCTACAAAATTCTGACATTACCCATATCTGTGGTATCCTTTTTTGTAAGTTTGTTAGACTGATGGAACATCCTCACTTGTCACTGCTAAAGGTGGCCCCTGTGCTTATACTGACACTATTTTTATCTATTTTTATCTTAGTTATTTACTCCAGTTTGTAAGAGCCTTGTTCGTCTATGCAGTCAACTTCCTGCTTATACATGCTTTTCTGTTTAATACACTAAAACCAAGGATACAAAAATATAATTTGTACATGTGCAAGTGTCTGCATCATGTAAAGCTCTGTAATGTGATAAAGAACTTTCCTTTCATTTAGATTTATTGTTTTTGCAGGTCCTTGAAAGAGCATGAAGACAATATGAAAAATAGTGTGATCAAAATAAAAAGACCCGTCTACCAAAAGGAAACACGCTGTTGTGTATAAGGACGACCAAATCATGGAAAGATGACACATGTGAAATAGTACATCACACATCATTGTACTGAGAATTTTGGAAAATGTACAGTGAAAATAGGACCCACTGCAGACCTATAACCACATTGCACTTAGCTATGCCAGTACTTCTACAATCGTAAATCACTTTATAAATGCATCCAGTCTCAGGTATTTTAATATTTAGGAAATGTAATTCCTAAGGGCGTTTTGCCATTACCAGAATAAAAAATCTCTCAGCATCTTGGTGGTTACTTACGTGTGAAGTTTAAATAAACATGTTGTCATGCCTCCAGCATAGTGGTTTTTTTTTATTGTTCTTTTCTTATTTCTTTAACTTGTCCTGGGCTCCACTTAGTGGTCAAAGTGCATTACATCCCATAAACTGTTTGTAGCTGTATTTTGACCCTACTATGCATCTGTACCACCTATGATTTTGCAATCAGACGATGAAGAAGCAAGTGGAAGAAGCCAGCTACCATCTTGGACACATGATGAATTGGAGAAAACATCTCATTCCACAGTATTGTTGGAGAGCACATGGACTCTCATTTACCCAGCATCTACCACACCCTTTAGCAGCTCAGAGACACTGCTTATTGTTCTATTTTATGTATTCTGAATGTCTGTATTTCTTTTTCACTCCACCCTCTTTTTTCCAATAAAGCTCCAAGATTTGATCACACATTCTAGTTTATTGGAGGATATTAGAGTCTAGTTGCATGTTGGGTTATACAAAGGCCACAGGATAACATGTAGCAAGGACAAAACACACACAGTATATTTAAATATTGGGTGAAACTGTCCTGGTATTTTCTTTATCAAAAGGAATATATTGTTTTTTACATATTGTTTTGTTTTCTCTATTATAATTAGAACTACAGAGCTACTTCACTTTACATTTTTGAAAGCATTATAAGCTACCGTAGTTCCAAGGTAGCACAAATTTTGGTGACCATAATGATAACTTGACTCTATTTTCCCATGCTGACATTAGTTTATAGATTATGTAAACCCTAACAATAAACTCCTCTTGTTTGCTCCTTTTTGGTCTGTTAAACATACCATTAAAAGTGTTTTGTTATATCTGTTCAATAAGTGCAAAACAAAAACGAAAAAAACAAAACTGCTGATCATGCCAGAAGCCCAGGGAACTAGTAACTTCCTGTGCTTGGTGACTCTGCTGCATGCTAATCAGTTACATTGTTCCCAGCTATCTATGTGGACTATTTAACACCTTCCACCTATGTTATTGGGAATAAAAGAGACAATGTTTTCTATAGTCCTGTGTTAAGGTAACAATGCTGCTTTACCATAGATACAGTACAGCGAGAAGCGTTGTCACCCTAGGACAGGAAGTGTGTTACTGCCAGATTACCAGGCGGCAGACAGCTTGAAAAAATAAAAGCCATCAAATCTAAGAAATCTAAGAACGCAATACTTCACATTTTTGTTTGTTAGCTATGTTTTAAAGAAGAAGAAAGAAGGAAATGTACAAATTAACCATTGCAGTGGGGCTACCCCTGCACTTCAAGAGGTAATTGCTCATTAGGCGACATCTGGCAAATTGTCATTCGACCCCCGAGGGGGTCCCGACCCACAGGTTGAGAACCACTGGTCTAGGGGCTGCAAGAGTTAGTATTTACATTTCCTGGAGTCCATCTTTAACCATGTCACATCATTCCACTTCCTGTTTGGTTACTCAATGGTACCTTGTTGGTCCCTTCACAGTG